TTTGAAAAGAATGTTTTGTGCTAATATTATTTAGATAACATGTTGATATCTTGCAAATGATAAACTACTATGAGGAGAACAATATATAATGTATCAATAATTGATTAATCTACTAACCTATTTGAAATTTTATTTCATTATTTATCTTTTTTCTCTTTAAACTATAAAAAAAAGCAAAGGGCCCCAAACAAGTCTAAAGTCCAATAATGGCATCTTTAGATCACTCTTAGCATCTCTTCTATTGCTTTGTTTTGTTTTCCTAAGTCATTGCATCCAACTTTGTGGCTTTATATATCGTGTTCATACTGGTAAATGCTAAGATTTGAACTAATACTGCCTTTGACACTCATCCTCACACTCACATAAAAACTGATTGAGTAATGAATCAATTTGTCTTCCAGACATCTGACAACATTTTGATATCCATTTACCAACACCTGCTTTTTTACAAGTCTTCACTCAGTAAATGATGTCCTAATGTGCAGTTTCTGACCGAATCCAAAATTGGTGAGTCTTCCTTATTTTATTTTCTTCATTTTCCCATTGTAATTCCTGCTCCATTTCCAAAATATTTCAATGTGTTCCTTTCATTACATTCCTACTACTTCCACACTAGCATTTGATCAGCCATTATATTTAGTTTGGAAATCCCTGAGTTATCTATATTCAAGGGAAACAGATCCTGCCACAGGTCAACTTGCACACAGAAATTCCAGCATCCATCAGGGGAGCACACTCTTCTAATGTGTTGACACTCTACTGAGAAATTTTTTCTGTGCTCTGAGACATAAAACCTTTAATGTTGGGCAATATGTGACTCTGTTCTCATGTTGCACTGCTATTCTTTTGGTCTAGTATCTTGCACCATAGTGAATTTTTCTAATTTTATGATATTAAATTTCATACTATACCACTGCCTAGATTCTAATTATTTTAGAGCACCATATTCCTCAATCATTAACATTGTGCATTGTACCCCTCAATTTTATGTTTCTGTTTTATTCCTTTAATTTTTTGAAAAACATTTATTTACCTACTTGAAACAGGGTCTTTCTATGTAGTTCAGATTCATAGTAATTCTCCTGCCTCAGTCTCCACTGGGATTATAGGTGTGAGCCACCACACCAGGTTTCAGTGGTCAGCAGTGCACAGGTTTGAAGGCAGGTGCACCATTCGGTCCCAGGGACTGAACCCAGGTCCTTGTGTTTGTGACACAGGCTCTTAGGCCCCTGAATTATCTCCCCAACCCTATGTTTCTATTTTAGTAGACTGGGCTTTAGAGAAGTTTAATATTCAAAGGAGAATCTTCTTGAATTTTTGTTTTGTAGTGTGTCACAGGAATGCCACTAATTTTTGTGTTGATTTGTATATACTAAACTTTTCATATGTTATTTGCACTGATGTTTGATTTCTTTTCTTTTAGGATTTAGGGTTTTCTATCAAGAGTATTATGGTTTCAAGAGAGGTAACTCCACTTTATCTTTTTTTTTTTAATTTGTGTTCCCTTTGCATTCTTATATCTTATCTCACTTATTTGTAATTGGTAGGAATTTCAGAGCTCTAATGAGCAGACATGGTAAGAGTGAGCATTCTTGTTTTGTTCAATAGTCATAGGAAAATTTGTTGCTATGTTTATTGATCCTTTCATTTGCTCTATTTATTATTTATGCACTCTTCTTGTTTTATTATTGATTGAAATGCATCTTTTATTATTTTATGGTCCCTTTATTGCCATTTTGGTATAAGCAAAACTGTCCTAACAGAATGATATTTAATATTATCTAAAATGAATAACAAAACAAAAAAAAGTATTTTCCAAGAAGTATCAGGATTTCAATAGTTCTACATGCATTTTATGAATAGATACTGTATTTAAAAAAATATCAAAATAAAATTTCTAATATCCCACACAATTTTAATGAAGTATTCTCATATTGATCAAAATATGACAAAAAATAGAAACACCAAGACCTAAAGCATCACAATTTTTCAGTTTAAGTTTTAATCCTTGCTCTGACCATCATGAATAAATGCCTTGAAACAAGTTAAACTTTGGTATTGTTACATATGAATGCAATGCTGCAGTAATGAATAATTAAGAGCTATAACTGTTACAGTATTAATCAAATATGTATCTAACATAATTTTATTTGGCTCCATGGAAGGATTAGTTCCATCAATATTTTCAAAACTTGATACCTGAAATTAGTAACAAAGTTAATGTAACATTCATATAATCACTACAAGGAGAAGTCGATCTAATTAACTAATTATAAAAAATAGATAAGGAAAATCAAAACATTTAATTTGTACTCTGTCATGAGTAAGAATTTATTGGTCATGTCTTTAATTTTTTCTAAATTATTATTGAATGTAGGGAACAGTTAATATTTACTTTTACTATAGATTTAAAAATTCTAAGACCTTCTACTACACAAAATGATTAAAAATAATATTGCTTTATACCCATAAGTAAAATTTTCACAATATATAAACAAATGCAGTAAATGAGATTAAACTCTCTTTTAGAAAAATTGCCTCTTTGGGTATTATATGACAAGTGATGTATACAATATATTTTAAAAATTGAAGTTTATCTACCACATTAAAAACATTGATTAAATCATATGCAATAGAAGATTGACAAAATTATAACAAATAAAGAAGAAATTCATAACCTTTCTTCTACTTCATGCCTAATTATTTTGAGCACAATTTCATACATGAATGAATAACTCTAGTTTCTTATAATATATTTTATAATTATCTATCAGAAAATTTGAATAGCTTGTGATTTGTGTGCTGATTTGTGCAGTGTTCCTATCAGTGATACCTCCTTTACTTTACTTTGAGCGGAAACAGTGAAGGGGAAAAGAGGTACTTGACCATAAAAATAAGGAGGGCAAACATGTCCTGAATTAAATGTTCTTCATCTCTGGAATGTGGTTTTGAAATATATAATGTGACATCAAACTTGTGAGCTGACAGAATAACAGTGTCTATATTATAATGGATATCTCCCTAAACTTCCAAGTCAGTGTACATTCAACCTGTTTCCCTTTCAGCCTAGAGAATAAAATTTTGTTCAAATCTAGATAGTGCTCAGCCAAATTGTTTGTCATTGGGTTCTGTTTTGCAAATGGAACATATATGAAACTCATTTAACCAAATTTGTCATCATGTAGCTACACTCTCAAATACATAGTTCCACTTAGAAATTATTTTACATAGAATCATATCCCTCATATTTATAGACAGTCATCAGTAAGTAGAATTAGTTTATTTTCC